GTATACTGCTGCAACCTAAGAATTTCGTCAGACACGTAGTCAGATAGAAGCTGCTATCTTTAATCCATCCATTGGGTCACAAAAGACAGAAGGCATGTACTCAAATACCGAATTTCGATCAGATCCCGAATACGGCCCAGGTAGACGGGTGCCACGTCGCGCGACATGACTGCCCATCGATCGTTCAGACCGCCCCAATCCTGCGTCTCAGTTTACGACTTTCGGGTTTAGCTTCGGTGTTTAGTGTTTGGAGCTTTAGTGCTTCAGGCGTTTACGGCTTAGTTTTCCGGTTTTGAGTTTGGCATCAATATTGGGTGGATTAATATTTGAAGATGCATGAGCGTACAAAGGAAGAACGGAAACGCGCGGGATTCCCAAATTGCGGTGCAGAAGCCATGACGTCTGGAATCCAAACACGACCAGGGCCCATCGCAGCCATAGGCGTGAGAGGGGGATGCGGAGCCAAAAAATCTAAGTCCGAGCGCAAGTAGATCACCCAGTCCACGGGTGCTGGCAGCCTTCTCCTAAGTTCATCGTTTTCGGGCTATCTCTCAACTATATGAAAGCTCATGGTCGAAATTTAGGGTTTGGTTTTCGGATCTGGGATTGTCCAGGTCCGAAGGAATGCGTACTGTGGACTGCTTCTGTAAAAAGACCTCTGGAAACCCGGACCCAATCGCAGCAAACTGACATGCAGTACCGGACGATCCTAAAATCCTAAAACTTAAACCCGAAACTTTGCGGCTTAGCAATCCAACACACTTTCAGCCCTGAACCCTGGCTGACCCGCTCAGTAGAGCGTCTAAAATCCAAAGCACGTACGCCATACAGAAAAGTCTCTCCAGCTTCACGACCTCTTGGAGACACATTTGCTTCATGGTCCAACTCTGGACGTGGCCTGGACGCAGTATTCAAGAGCATGTTCGTGTACTCCAGGGTTGAAGTTTGGAGCAGAAAGCAATTACTAGGCTTGTAGGTGGAGGGTCAAACAATCACGTAAGGTATTGGGGCATCTGCGCATCGTTCAACTTTGAGACCCGAAAGCAAAACACACCCCACAATCCACAACAACACACCCAACCAAAGAACAGAACAGAGATCAACAGCAACAGTATCGCAAATCGAGAAGGAATGCTGAGTGGCTTAGAGATGCTGAGTTAGAGCTCAGGGAAAGCGGCCTGCCATGGTGACACCATCTGCGAATCGATGTGTCCAGAGGTGATTGAAGTTCTCTTTCCACCAGCTCCGGTTCGCCGAGTTCGGTAGGGATCGCAGAAACTTCAACTTGAACTGTCTGTCTCGATCCTCAGAAACTTCTCGAGACACGAAAACAGAGAACTCCTAGGTCCTATTCGTCCTATTTGTTCTTTACAAGAAAACCGTTAGTGCTAAGCCGAAATTTGCTGTACACTCTCAAAACTCGGACAAGCCAGGCGAGGATCCATGTGCGACAGTCGGTGTGAAATGCAGGGAAACTCGGGATGCTTGCGACTATGCATTAAACCCCAGAAAACCCCAAATAAAGCTCACACAAAGGTTACCGCAGCGCCGCTGGCATCCTGACTAGTCCGATCTAGCCTCTCAGAACGAAACTACTGAACGCAATAGAACATAGGTCGTCCTACAAAGGACAACCAGCCAACCAGCCCTTGTACAGAGAAGACGTTCGGACCCGTGGGCACGTTAGCCCAACTCGCTCTACAAGGACATGGAGACTAGTGCTTTAGGAGTTAGATTCAAGCTTGCTAGTCCTGCTACAGAACTTACTAAAATCTATGGCAGGACAGAATTTCGTAAACCCTTGACTGTCATGCAAGCCCTAAGCCGAAACCCTGAATCAAGCCCTCACACAACCGTATAAGCCGTAGCGAGGATCGGTTGGGTCTACCACACAGAGCAGTGACCTCATCTTCAGACCGAAAGCCCACCGCAGTCTCCTCATGGCCAGCTTGCAAAGGTGCCCGTCCTGACGGGGTTGCGGTTTAGCAACGAGGCGTCTGGGGCTTCTAGAATCAGGGGCTGAGGGAATTTTATCTACTTTTTTTAGAGTTTCACGGTTTACAGGCTGTGGGCTAGGAGATTGGGGTTCAGAGTTTGGGGTGTCAAGGTATGTCAAGGTGTCATGTTTGGTCTCATGTCTCGGCTTTTTCGCCGCGCCCGTAAATGATCCTCCTGGCCCTCCTCTGCGGCAACACCCGACATGACCGACACGACCTGGTACTCTTTGCCCAAGCCTCAGATCCAGGTTGCTTTGAGGGCTCCTTACTATGACCATGGCAAAGTTTAGCATGATTGCGAAACTTCTTATCCCGAATATGACTTGCTACATTTTGTGTACCTACTCTCATGGCGAGATATGGCGAGATTGTTACAGGACTTCCATGTAGCCGGGAAGAACATTCACAGCAACGTGCTCGTGGCCCTTGTGAGTTGAGTTGAAGCATGTGTGAATTATCAAGCTAAGGTCTTTGGATTTCGGGTGTGGGGCTGAGCAGAATCGAAACTCACGGCCTGCCCTGGGCCCGAAAGTGATCCAGAAGACTTCCTGCAAACACAATTATGATGTGATGGTTCGTCTGCGTGGGCCTTTAGATCCCGCCAATACCTGACCGGAACGATTGTTGGGGTCGTGGCAGCTTTACGGTGCTTGCTGTGTGCTGATACTTACATTACATTCACTGACTCTACTTGAACAGGTTCCCCGGCGAAACCAGCAATACTGTTATACCAGGAATGAGAAAGATGAATGTCCATTTCCAGCAGCAGCAGAAGAAGTAATCGCAGCAGTCGAGTAGACGTGGTAGTGGTAGTGGTACTGGTGGTGGTAGTGGTAGTGATAATCGAAGCAGGACGAGTATACAAGAGTAGCAGCAGGATCAGGAGGGAGGAGGGGAGGAGTAGCAGCAGCGGTAGCAGCCGGAGGAGGCCATAAGCACGAGCTGGATGGCAATTTTTATCATGTCTTCCTCATCGGTTCTTTATCATAAGCAATAAATCTGAAAGCCATAACTCCGAACAAAACACAACCCTGAACCCCAGAGCTCTAGACCGAAGAAGCAAGCAACGTGCAACAACCGGTAATTCTGAAGCCCAAACCTCAACGCTGAGTCCCTAAAGCCGTACGGTGCACCACAGAAGTTGCAACATGGTTTCGGGTGATTAGTGCCAGGATTCTCTATCCAGGCAATGGTATATAGCTCCTTCGAGCTAATCCAATCCCTGCTCCTCAAAACCGGAATGTAACCCCTAGGCACTAGCCTGCTAAACGCCCAAAGGCACTCCTCAAAGCAGAAGCCATTCGTGCCAGCTGGAGCTGGGTCGTCCGCTGGAAAACGCCCTGGTACACCCAGCAAGCCCAGGATCCGCCAAGTCGGGAGTCATAAGCTGTTCTATTAACTATGTATATACATACATACGTGCATGCATACATATACAAATATATATATATATATGAGAGAGAGAGAGGCTCCTGTAGGGTCTATTTGACGCCTGCTTTATCCTACTCCATATGCAAATCATTAAAAATTACAATAATTGAAATAATTGGTCGATTTAAAACAATTAATAGCAAAGAAGGAGCCAGCCTTGTTGAAATAATTGAAATAACTGAAATAATTGAAATAATTGAATGAATTAAGTATTTCAACTATTGGAACACCCGAAGTAATTGAAATAATTGAAATAATTAAATCAAGCCGAATTGATTATTTCAAATATTCGAATTATTTCAATCATTTAAATGGGTAGTAAATCTCTCCATAAGCATTAGTAAAGCCCAGCAATTAATTATTTACATTACATTAATTATTGAAGTATCCTTAATTAATTCAATACAGTTAGTAGCAAAGAAAGATCCAGACTTATTTAAATAATTGAAATAATTGCATCAGGACGAATTAACTTTTTCAATTAATTCAATTATTGGAATACCCGAAATAATTGAAATAATTACATCAGGTCGAATCAATTATTTCAATTTTTTAAATACAGCCCAGCAATGAATTGTTTCAATTAGTTTAATTATTTAGGTATCCGATATAATTGAAATAATTGAAATAAGTAATTAATTCAATCAAATCAATAGCAAAGAAGGATCCAGCCTTATTTAAATAATTGAAATAATTGAAACAATTGAATCAAATATTGGGATACCCGAAATAATTGAAATCACTAAATCAAGCCAAATTAAATATGTTAATTATGGTATTTATTTCAAATATTTCAATTATTTAAACGGGTGGTAAATCTCTCCATAGGCATTAGTAAAGCACAGCAATTAAGTATTTCATTTATTTTGATTATTTTGGTATCCGAAATAATTGAAATAACCAATTACTTCAATAAAATTAGTGGCAAAGAAGGATCAAGCCTTAATTAAATAATTAACATAATTGAAATAATTGGGGATTGCCTCCCTCCCTCCCTCCCTCTCCTTCTCCCCCTCCTTCTCCCTCTCCCTACCAATAACCAAGGAAATGACGGCAGAGAGGATCGGACCAAATTTTGCCAGGACATTCGCGAGCAAAATTTGGTCCAATCCTCTCTACTGTCACTTCCTACCGGTAACCAAGGAAATGACGGCAAAGAGGATCGGACCAAATTTTTTTCCAGGACATTTGCGGGCAAAATTTGGTCCTCCAATCCTCTCTGCTGTCACTTCCTGCCGGTAACCAAGGAAATGACGGCAGAGAGGATCGGACCAAATTTTGCCAGGACATCCGCGGGCAAAACTTGGCCCAATCCTCGCTGCTGATGTCACTTCCTCCCGGTAACCAAGGAAATGACGGCAGACAGGATCGGACCAAATTTTGCCAGGACATTCGTGGACAAAATTTGGTCCAATCCTACCTGCTGTCACTTCCCACCGGTAACCAAGCAGAGAGGATTGGACCAAATTTTGCAAGGCAGGCAAAGATGACAAAGATGACACAACTGTGGTAAAGATACTAAACAAAGATGATGAGATTTTGAAGAAGTTCAGCGAACAGCTAGTCGGCAAAATTTGGTCCAATCCTCTCCGCCGTCATTTCGTACCGGTAACCAAGCCAAGCTTCCGAACTATGTGGAAAATCGATGCATCACTTGATGGCATTTGTCGGAATGTCACGTGCATCAAGCATGGATGTCTGTCACCAAGCCGAGCTTCCGAAATGTATGGACATTGGATGTATAACATGATGGCAGTTATCGGATTGTCATGTAAGATGTTGGATGCATCAAGTACGGATGCCGGTTGACAAATCAGTCGTCGAAATGTAATGAAATTCAATATTAAACTATATCTCAGGGCATGTCTCAATTTTTTCGGAATCATGTGTGTGCAATGTATAACTTATATGTATA